ATACCTCCTAATTCAGATCCAAAAGCAATATGGATTGTTTCTAGAATCGGGTCCTTTCTCGAGGAAAAGTTTCTCTCAAAAGAATTGAGTGGGAGGATGGTGGAGACTTGATGAGGTTATTGAACCGTCTCTTCAACTAGTGTGTGACAGGGCACAGGGAGTTGTTCCTGTGGCACCTACACCAATTGAAGTGGAAGCTTATGATATTGATCATGAAACTTCGGATCAAGTCACTCCCAAACCTCGTAGGATGACAAGGATGCGTACTACTTCAGAGTGGTACGTAATCCTGTCTTAAAGGTCATGTTGCTAGACAACAATGAACCTACGAGCTATGGAGAAGCGATGGTGGGCCCAGATTCCGATAAATGGCTTGAGGCCATAAAATCCGAGAGAGGATCCATGTATGAAAACAAAGTGTAGACTTTGGCAGAACGGCTCGATGGTCGTAGGGCTAATGAGTACAGATGGATTTCAAAAGGAAGACGGACAATGATGGTAAATGTCACCATTAAGAAAGCTCGACTTGTCGTTAAGATGTTTTCCGACAAGTTCAAGGAGTTGACTATGATGAGATTTTCTCACTCGTAGCGATGCTAAGAGTCTGTTGGAATTATATTAGCGATTACTGCATTATTTATGAAATCTTGCAGATAGGATGTCAAAACATTGTTTCCTCGACGATTTTAATGAGGAAAGGTTGTATGTGATACAACCGGAAGGTTTTGTCAATCCCGAAAGATGCTAATAAGTATGCAAAGCTCCAGCAATCCTTCTAAGGACTGGAGTGAGCATCTCGGAGTTGGAATGTATGCTTTGATGATGATCAAAAAATTTGGGTTTGTACAAAGTTTATGAGAAACTTGTATTTCCAAAGAAGTGAGTGGGAGCACTATAGAATTTCTGATGAGTATATGTTGTTGACATATTGTTGATCAGAAATGACGTAGAATTTCTGGAAAGCATATAGGGTTATTTTGAAAGTGTTTTTCAATGGAAAGCCTGGATTAAGCTACTTGAACATTGAGCATCAACATCTATAAGGATAGATCAAAATGCTTAATAATACTTTCAAATGAGCACATACCTTGACATGATCTTGAAGGTGTTCAAGATGGACCAGTCAAAGAAGGAGTTCTTGCCTGAGTTGTAAGGTACGAAGTTAAGACTTAAAGCTCGACCACGGCAGAATAGAGAGAAAGGACGAAGGTCGTCCCCTATGCTTAAGACGTAGGCTCTTCAGTATGCTATGCTGTGTACCGCACCTGAAGTGTGCCTTGCCATGAGTCAGTCAAGGGGTACAAGAGTGATCCAAGAATGGCTCACAGGACAGCGGTCAAAGTTATCCTTAGTAACTAGTGGACTAAGGAATTTTCTCGATTATGGAGGTGGTAAAAGAGTTCGTCGTAAAGGTTACGACGATGCAAGCTTGACACCTATCCGGATAGCTCTGAGTAGAGAGACCGGATACATATAATGGAGCAATAATTTAGAATAGCTCCAAGTAGAACAGTTGTTTGGAATAGCTCCAAATAAAGCGTGGTAGCTGCATCTAGGAGATGACATAGAGATTTGTAAAGCACACACGGATCTGAAAGGTTCAGACCCGTTGACTAAAACCTCTCTCACAAGCAACATGATCAAACATAAAACTCATTGAGTGTTAATCACATAGTGATGTGAACTAGACTACTGACTCTAGTAAACTCTTGGGTATTAGTCACATGGCGATGTGACCTGTGAGTGTTAATCACATGGCGATGTGAACTAGATTATTGACTCTAGTGCAAGTGGGAGACTGTTGGAAATATGCCCTAGAGGCAATAATAAAAGTATTATTATTATATTTCCTTGTTCATGATAATTGTCTTTTATTCATGCTATAACTGTATTATCCGGAAATCGTAATACACGTGTGAATACATAGACCACAATATGTCCCTAGTGAGCTTCTAGTTGACTAGCTCGTTGTGATCAACAGATAGTCATGGTTTCCTGGCTATGGACATTGGATGTCGTTGATAATGTGATCACATCATTAAGAGAATGATGTGATGGACAAGACCCAATCCTAAGACTAGCACAAAAGATTGTGTAGTTCATTTGCTAGAGCTTTGCCAATGTCAAGTATCTCTTCCTTCGACCATGAGAGCGTGTAACTCCTGGATACCGTAGGAGTGCTTTGGGTGTATCAAACGTCACAACGTAACTGGGTGACTATAAAGGTGCACTACAGGTATCTCCGAAAGTATCTATTGTTTTATGCGGATCGAGACTGGGATTTGTCACTCTGTGTAAACGGAGAGGTATCTCTGGGCCCACTCGGTAGGACATCATCATATGTGCAATGTGACCAAGGAGTTGATCACGGGATGATGTGTTACGGAACGAGTAAAGTGACTTGCCGGTAACAAGATTGAACAAGGTATTGGATACCGACGATCGAATCTCGGGCAAGTAACATACCGATAGACAAAGGGAATTGAATACGGGATTGATTAAGTCCTTGACATCGTGGTTCATCCGATGAGATCATCGTGGAACATGTGGGAGCCATCATGGGTATCCAGATCCCGCTGTTGGTTATTGACCGAAGAACGTCTCGGTTATGTCTACATGTCTCCCGAACCCGTAGGGTCTACACACTTAAGGTTCGATGACGCTAGGGTTATAAAGGAAGTTTCTATGTGGTTACCGAATGTTGTTCGGAGTCCCGGATGAGATCCCGGATGTCACGAGGAGTTCCGGAATGGTCCGGAGGTAAAGATTTATATATGGGAAGTCCTATTTTGGCCACCGGAAAATGTTCGGGATTTTTCGGTATTGTACCGGGAAGGTTCTAGAAGGTTCCGGAGTGGGGCCCACCTGCATGGGGGGACCCACATGGACGTGGGTAGTGGGGGCAAGGCCCCACACCCCTGGTCAAGGCGCACCAAGATCCCCCCTTAGAAGGAATAAGATCATATCCCGAAGGGATAAGATCAAGATCCCTAAAAAGGGGGGATAACAATCGGTGGGGAAGGAAATAATGAGATTTCTTTCCTCCCACCTTGGCCAACGCCCCAATGGACTTGGAGGGCAAGAAACCAGCCCCTCCACCCCTATATATAGTGGGAAGGCGCATGGGAGCTATACACGAAGTTCTGGCACAGCCCTACCTCTCTCCCTACTCCTCCTCTCCCATGGTGCTTGGCGAAGCCCTGCTGGATTGCCACGCTCCTCCACCACCACCACGCCGTTGTGCTGCTGTTGGATGGAGTCTTCCTCAACCTCTCCCTCTCTCCTTGCTGGATCAAGGCGTGGGAGACGTCACCGGGCTGTACGTGTGTTGAACGCGGAGGTGCCGTCCGTTCGGCACTAGGATCATCGGTGATTTGAATCACGACGAGTACGACTCCATCAACCCCGTTCACTTGAACGCTTCCGCTTAGCGATCTACAAGGGTATGTAGATGCACTCTCTTTCTACTCATTGCTGGTCTCTCCATAGATAGATCTTGGTGACACGTAGGAAAATTTTAAATTTTTGCTACGTTCCCCAACATTTTTTTCATGGCCTTGTATAACAATTCAAGACACCATGCTAAGTTGTTTGGATTTTTGACAAGTTTTGGATTTTCTGGAGTTTTCTCCATTTAAAAAGGTTGATAAATGACCGAACATGTCGCGACTTGCATACATGGTCGAAAGTCGTCCAAACCAATCATGGGTGCCTACCATGGGCATTGCCTACCATCTTGCAAAGTTGGGCTCATTTTAAGGATGTCAAAATATAGACAATGGTCAACGAAGGGTGTTTGGTTAGGCCAAAAGGATTTGTTTGAAAGCTCATTGTTTTTCGACATCCGTCAAATGGCCCCAAGGCATCATGCCAAGTAGTTTAGATATTTTTTTACAAGTTTTGCATTTTCTGAAATTTTCTCGACGATGAAAAATGATAAATAAATGGCCAAACGTGTCGCAACATGTAAACAGTGTCCGGACTCGTTCAAATTTCGCATGGATGCCTCGTATGTCCATGCCAGACCGTTATAGAAGTTTGGGTCATTTATTCATAGTTCAAAAAACACCAGTTAAGAGGAGTGTGCCAGACTATGCCACACAGGTGCATCTCTGAGCATATAGTTTTTCCTAATTTGAATGCTTCTGTTATTTGCAATTTCCATCATTATATATCAATATGAACACTTTTTTGTCCTAATCATTATTTTTTTCAACAATTCCGGAATTTCAAATTTTGTATGAAAATTATACAAACTTGAACACTTTTTCCAAAGTTAACAAATTGCCAACAATTGATGAAAATATTGAAAAAAATTGCAAACCACGTACCTTTTGAAATTTATCAACCTTTTCTGAAACACAGACATATCTTAAATTTGTGGGCAGAAAAATAAAAAATGGGAACATTTTATGAAATTCCAGAACATTTTTTTCAAATTGTAAACAATAGTTGAAAATAAGAACATTTTCTGGTACTCCAAACATTTTCTCAAATATTTGAACGGGTTTCAAAAAGAATAATAAAGCTTTAAAAGTAGAAACTGAATTGAGTAAAATGAATTATAAGTCCTAAAACTATTGGAGGTGTGTCGGTTTAGTCCTACAACTTCGAAACTGCAATTTTAGGTCCTAAAACTATTGGAGTTGTGTCATTTTAGTCCTATAACTTCGAAACTGCAGTTTTAGGTTCTAAACCTGTTGGAAGTGTGTCAGTTTAGTCCTATAACTTTGAAACGCGGGCCATTAGAGGCATAATGGCTTGAGCTCCAACAAGGAGAGTAGACCGGTCATCTCGGCCTCACCCCACAGTGGCAGAACGACACATCACACAATGTCCAATTGCTACCCACCTGTGCCTGCTGCTGGGGCTATGTCACTCTCACCGACCTTTGCGCCAGCTTCGCAAATTCTGCACACTCCTCCGCGCCGTCTAATAGCAACGACAATTCCCCACTCGTGGCCATACTCGTGCCTAAACAACAACCTACACGACAAGTTCTACGACAAGGGTGTCGGGGCAACGAAGATGTCATGAGAGAGAGAAAGAGGAGGGATGGCGTCCTCCATCCCGATTAGCTCGGGGTATCCCCGGTGGACGCGCCAAGAGAGAGGGATGCCGTCCTCCATCCTGATTAGCTCGACGTCTCCCCGGCGAACGTGCTGAGAGAGAGGGATGTCGTCCTCCATGCTGACTGGCTCGGGATCTCCCCGGCGGCCGCGCCAAACCTCTCGGCGAGGCTGTCCTGCACCTCATGGCCACGCAGATGGTGGTCGTGCAGGTTGCAACACACATTGCGATGTGGAAGCGTATGGAGGGCCATGCAAGCTTAGGACCTTAAAAAATGGCTCATTTGAATTTTTTTTCACCAAAATAGATTTTGGCCATGCAAGCTTAGGACCCGAGATGAACAAACTTACATTGTTTTGGGACCCAAAATTGCAGTTTCGAAGTTATAGGACTAAACTGACACACCTTCAATAGTTTTAGAACTTATGATACATTTTACTGAAAAAAGAAGAAAAATAAAAAAAATAGAAAAGGAAAAAAATACTAAAGCCATAATAAATAATAATGTTTATAAATTTGACAAAAATGTTTTGTTTTCAAATAATGCTCGCAAATTTGAAAAAGTGTTTGTATTTTCAAAAAAATGTTTGCAAATTTTATGAATTGTTCATGTTTTCAAGAAAATGTTTGCAAATTTGAAAAAAAATCATATTTTTGAAAAAATGTTCACACTTTCATAAAAATGTTCAGAATTCTGAAAAATTGTTCAAAAAAATAAAAAATATTTGTATTTCCCATAAAAAAAGGTTTGCATATTTGAAAAAAACTGTGTTTCCAAAAGAAGTTAATATTTTGAAAAACATTTCGTATTTTTGAAAAACATTCGTTCTTTCAAAAACTAAAAAACACATTAGCTACAATACCCCCTCGATCGGTTCGCTACAGTGTCCGGCCCGGTTGTATAGTGCTGGTTTGAACTGCTACAGTACATCCATTTTAGTTGATAAGAAACCGCGCTACGTATATAGTACATCACCAAAGCTGGTTGGTTCTAATGGTTATCAACGCGCTCACAACCGCGGTAGGTCTCGAGTTTGATGCCACAGCTCTCTAATTTTAGAGCGTGGGCGATTATTGATGTGGACCGGCTACATACAAGTCGATTGATTTAGTATTTTGGGTCAGTCAATTTCCCCCCCTCTGGCAACGCTATGCCTGGCTTTTTTTTAGAAGCACTTGTAACATTATTCATGCTTATAACAATTGTAGATAAACCGATTTGGACCTAAGATTAAAAAAAGACAAAGTAACTCCTATGACTAAGAATATAATGAAATATCTTGAAATCACCTTCTTCGTGATATCAATCTCTGCTCGAAAAAATACTCCATAGACTTTGGTAAATAAGCTGCAATTGGACTGGAGCAACGGCGTTGTCACTCTTTCACCCACACGAACATTACCAATAATGATTTTTGAAAGCACCTTGAATCGCCCATCCAAAAAGATAGAAAGCCTTAATCGATGAACGTACTTGGGTCGGGGATGATCACCTAGAAGTGCAGGCCGTCGAATCATATATCTTCACCATGGTGTCGATTCAAGATTTCACCTCCACAAAGAATCAGACCAGCAAAAACGTATCTTGACACAGCAACATAAGCTCATCAAACTCGAATAATCGGATCTGCGAAAACAAAAAACTCTCAAATCTCATGGCACCGTCAAAAGGACGGGAGAAAATTTATTCTCGCAAAACTATGATGATCACTAGACTTGATGAAGAAGATAAATATCTTGAAGATCCGATGTTCCCCCACCTCTCAACGCCAACATGGCAGCGGGAGGCGAGGGGACCTAATTTCTTATATGCCTGGCTGGGTACATGCATGCTTGCGTGCATGCAATTGTTGGGCTTGGGCATGACATGCATGGATAATGGATGGGTCACACGTACATCACATTAACAGTTCGACTTTTTAGGGATGATGGATATGAGTACGTATATGTCTTTAGTGATGGTATAGAAATAAAAAAAAGTTTTCTAAGAAAAATGTATGTGTGCCCTCAGTATTGACTTTTAACAATTTACACATTAATTGCTCTTTTTTAGTGTATGTAAGAATACACTGATAATAGTGAAATTTACATAAAAAAGAAGTTTTTAAACAAGGAATGAATTAGGGGCATTGGTATTAACGTTAAAAAAGAAAAAGAAATAAAAACTAAGACATAATAAAAAGTGAAGTTTTTCTAGCAAAAAAAATGAATTAGTGACATTGGTATTACTCTTAAGAAGAAATGAAATTAAAAGAACTTGCACACAACTTTGAGTGAAATTGCACTTTTTGTAATATGCGGTGAATACACGTAAAATAATGCAACTTCCACAATCTAGTATAATTTGCAGACATATTATATAGTACTTGTGTGCATACATATAAAAAATATTAATTGAAAAGTATTTTTAAAGAATGAATTAGTAAAATTTAGCAGAAAAAATAGCATTGGTATTACCCTTAAAAAAGAAAGAAAATACAAAATTTCCAGAAAATCAGCACAAAAAATGCACTTCTTATAATATATAGAATAAACATATAAGAGTGATATTTCCGTACTCTAATGTAATTTGTACATGTAGTACTTGCATGTATACTTTTACACACACTCAACATCTGAAAATAAATAAAGTGAGAAAAAAAACTCAACTGAAAAATTAAAAATAGAAACCAAAAGCAAACATGCGCAGAAAATAAAAACAAACACAAGGACAAAAAAAGCATGCACACACTAATATTGGGATGCATTTCATCAATGCATGTGCATGCAAGAGCCACGAACTGTAGACATGCATGCATGCATGAAGGCGCATCGTGCTCTGACCAAGGATAGGCAAAAAAAAAATCAACTGAACAAGTAACAGAGTTTGTCGATCTCCTACACATGTACTTATCACAAAGCATTTTGAATCGATAGCCACAAATTTGACTGACCGAAAATAATAATTCAGTCGCCTGACATGTAGCTAACGTGTTATTGATGTGTTTAGGACGTTGTACCGAAGCAAAAATGATTATATATTTTTCAGAAATCGAGAGTGGGATTTGAAGCTGTATACACTACCGTACGGTGGCCATCATCAGCTGCAGTTGGACGGCACTAATCCCCCGTTCGATTCGAGCGTCAGACATGAAACATCGTATCCACAGCAAATTCGTCTGACAAAAAGCGTTTTTTTTCTTCGCCTGATATTTATACACGGTAAATGTATGGCAACTGTTTTATACAACAACGGCCGACTGCCATTTGCTAGTTCTTACAGACAACATACACAATGCCTCGTGTGACATTTGCCACGATCAAAACCTAAAGCGGAGGAACTCTTTTTTTTTTTGCGGGTGAAAGAATTTTGATTTATATTATAGCTATATAAATAATGAAACTGTACATGCTAGCTAGCTCCGGCATTAACACCTTTCACTTCGCCCTTGATGGAGCTCATGACGTTGGAAGCAATGGCGATGCTGCTCGTGATCACCGCCAGAGTGATCATCATCGCTGCCATTGCCTTGTCTTTCCTCTTCGCTATTCCGTGAACATCCCTGAAAAAGTTTCAAGGTGTCGGATTAGGCCAGGAAATGTTAAGTTTTATGTGTACAAGCAAGTGATCAATGGCGCACCTGAGAACGATGGCGCCAGGGAAGATGAGCGATATGCAGACGGCGAACGTGGAGCCCGAGTACTGGAAGAGCGTCCAGATGCTGGGGATGGCGATGGCGAGCACGTAGAGCACCGCCATGAGCACGGCCGTGAGCGCCACGAAGCGGCGCGTGTCGGTGGCCAGCGGGCGGCGGCCTGGGAAGAGGAGCTCGTCGACGTTGACGCGGAGCGAGTAGTGGAGGAGCGGGAAGACGAGCACGAGGTGCAGCGCGTAGCTGAGGCGCGCGGCGTCGTTGAGCGCCTGCGGGACGCCGGAGCCGGAGCTGCGGTCGAAGTTGGCGAGCACGTCGGGCATGGTGGCGTCCCCGAAGAGGAGGAAGCCGAAGAAGCCCACCGCGGCGTAGATGGCGGCGCAGAGCACCAGCGAGATGCGCACCGCCGACTTCATGTCCGACGTCTTGCTGAGCTCCGCGCGGATCGGGTGCACTGCCAAGGCAGACACAGGTGAGCTGTACTGTACAGCGTCGAATATTTGAAGAAAGCTACTGTGAAGCATATGGCGCGGTCGATGTGGAGTACCGTTGAAGTGGAAGGTGAAGGCGACGACGATGACCGGGACGGCGGTGAAGAGCTCGAAGGGGGACGCGAGGGTGGAGAAGTCCGGCAGCATCCGCGGCATCTTCGCGGTGCCGGTGAAGACAGTGTAGACCGCGATCCCCATCGTGATGAGCATGAACACCGCCGCCAGAAGGATGGACACTGCCGATGTGTACCTCAGCGAATCTGCAAAATTTACAGTAACCATTTTATCTTGTTTTGTCGTTGCAACTCTACTGGTGGTAGTGGTACATTCCCCACTGTCGGCACTTGAATGGAAATCAATCATTGGCTAGTACAATCAAAGATGCAGCACGAGGGTGCACAGCGACAGTGCACTGAGCAATCGCCGGGCCACGACGCCACGTCGCCACGTGCTCGTCCTCGACATGGCTGGCCTCACGATCTACCCGTAGCTTGGTTTTTTAGACAAAAATTTTTGCTACGTCAACAGGTCGAATGCCCGATTCGGTCGCGCACCAGATAGCTGTGCCCGATTCGAGCGGCGGGGTACGTACCTACATGCTTCTGGAGCACAAGAGGCAGGAGAATCACCGCGGCCGCCACCAGCACCGCATCCCGGCCGGTCCACCAGTGCGGGCCGAACCACTCCGGCAGCACCCCGGCGTGCGCCTCCCCGCTGCCCACGGGGCCGGACATCACGTCCCCTGCACCAAAACTCTCCCAACACTCAGGATCTCTCACCACACCAGACGCAAGCATGTGCGCGCCACGCTCGGCACTGCACTGCGCGCCAGAGCCTGTGGGGTTTCCCGGGATTGATTACCGATGATTATGAGGTAGACGGTGAGGGTCCCGACGCAGTTGAAGGCGATGAAGACGTTGAGCAGCTTGGCGCCGGCCCGGCCGAACGAGCCGCCCATCAGCGCCGCGTACGACGGCGTGCCCCGGGTGTACCGGAGCATGAAGTCCACGGCGACGTTGGCGAGGAGCGCGACGCACACGATGAGCGCCAGGGCCGGGGCCACGCCGAGCACCCGCATGGCCGCCGGGATCGACATGATCCCGGCGCCCACCACGCTCGTCGACACGTTGAACACCGCGCCGAGGACCGACGCGTTGCCGGGAGGCGCCACCGCGAGGTCCCCCACGACGCGCTCCGGCAGCAGGAGCGCCTCCTCCGCCTCGCTGCCGCCGGCGGCCATGCCGGGGCCGCGCGAGCTCTTGGACACCATGGTTGACTTGATAAAAGCAAGAAGGGGAGGGAGAGAGCACAGCGGCGGAGTGGGTGCGAATTTGTAATCGGCGGCTCGAGAGCGTGAATGGAGGAGTGGTGAGAAAGGGACGGGGTGACTGTGCCGAGGGATAAGAGCTGAGTCACACGGACATGGGCGATCGAGTGGAGCTCCACGGCTTGATTACTGCCGCTGCGGTGGTGGTGGACCTGTCTGGTAGAGAAGCCAGATGGCGACCGTACGTTCGTGCTTCCCACGAGCACCAGCGGAGTAGCGCTACAGACGACTAGACCGTGGCCTACTTTGCTGTCCAAAACCATTTTCTAGCTGCCTCCTCTGAAATGTGTTTCGCGTGCAGTATATTTTCTTCTGCCGTGCAAGTGCAAGTGACCTGCAGACCATTATTGAGTGACGTGCAGATCTTGATACTCCCTCCGTCCGTACATCTCTTTTATTCATTTTAATGAAAATATTTCCAGACGGAGGGAGTACGATTTTTTTCGCTCTAATCCTTCTACGATTTTTTTTCTTCCGTGGAGGGAGGTACATTGGGCGTGGAGGACAAAACCCTAGTATTTACACGGCCGCCCTACCAGTGGCGGAGCCAGGAAATATGTATTAGGGGGGCCAAGTGCTGCTAAAACAAATTAGGGAGGGCCAAGCTAAAGCAAAATAGATTTTCAGCAGCAATAGATTACTAATTATGTCACTGTTCATAGCAGATTAGCAGCAAAATCCAGATGTTAGGGGGAGGCCAGGGCCCCTGCTGGTCCCCCCTGTCTCCGCCACTGCGCCCTACTCCTCTCACCCCTCTCCTCACCTCCTTCTAAGGCGGCTGCTGGTGAGGGGCGGCAGGGCTCTTCCTTGTTGTGAAGGAAACCGAACAACACTTTGGAGGGGATGGTGGTTTGCCGTGTTGTGAGGGGCGGCGGGTTGCATCCGACCATCGATGGCTGCCTTGGGCGGTGTGCACGAGGACCTCACGGAATCTAGCCTATGCTGGTGGGCACGACAACAATCGGCGAGAAGATGGTGTGGCGTCAACTGGAAGTAATGTGATGGTGTCTCCTCTTTCGTTGAATTCTCATTCAGCCAGCTTGTGTGAGCAGGCTAGAATAGAGGTGGATGACGACACTAGCAATTGACATCGAGATTTTATTCTCTCGGTGCGAAAACCAATGATTTATCATTTTGGGTTGGCGTCTTTTCATATTTGAAGGTGTTGACTCCTAGTTATGCTTTGAGGGTGATAGCTCCAGGTTCTACTTGTGGTTGGATCAGTCATCGGCATGCCAGCGACAGTTCCTTCTCAAAGATGTTGCGTCAGGGTCTTACGCCTTTTGTTAGGTTGCAAAATTGCTTCACCGGCGAATATAGTCAATGGTCATACGGTTTGGATAAGATTGTAAAGAAGATGCCGCGAGGTAGGCCTTATATAGTTATATGGATGGTTTTGGATTTTGTAAACCTGATTTGTTCGATATCAATGGATGACGCTGGTTGTCATTGTTTTCGATACCAATCAATGTAGAGATTTGAGAATTATCCTATTTTCCAAAACATAATTACTTACATGACATAATCCAACTGGTTGTTGTTGTTTAGACTTGCCCATAAATGGTGTGATATGGCATGTCGTGCAAATTTAAGATGGTAAGTGTCGTCCGTGTAGCAGTGCTCTTTTCGAAATAAAAAGAGCGAGGCACAAATATGCCTCCTTTTTCGCCTAAAGTAATCAATGAAAAAATTACTTTTGAATAAACCTTTTTCATTCTATGCAAGTTCGCTCTGCCATTTCCTCAAATTGGGTTTTTGCTCGCAGTTTTATCTATGCATGTCCCCGGAAACAAGCACAAAACACCCAAGATACATTCGAGCTTAAGCATTACTCATTTTTGTGTCCAAAAACTATGCTAAATCGCTCAAGTCAAACTCACAGGTCACAACTAATCACTAAATTGTACTCTTCAATAATAGATACATCTGTTTATAGTTCTAAAAAAAGGCATTTGTTTAAGCGTCAATTAACATGGGATGAAGGGAGTACTCCCTCCGTTTCTTCTAAATATACAAGACCTTTTATAGAGATTCTAATATGAAGTACATATGGATGCACATATAAACATATTTTAAAATCTAAATTTATTTATTTTGCTCCGTACGTAGTTCATATTAGAATCTTCTTTTATTTAGGAACGGAGGGAGTCCTAGCTCATTCGATCAGATCCCAGTCTGACTGCCCCACCCCACATGCATGTATGGGAAGATCATGTCACAATCAGAACTGATCGCCAACTCACTAATCTGGCTATCAGTTTTTTCTAAGAAAGCTACGATCTGGCTGTCACATGGTCTCCAGGAAGCCACCTAGCTATAGTAGTATTGCCAAAAATGAAAGGCAATCGAACTACTGTAACTAAGATAAACAAAGGTGCAGTGCATTGAATTGAACGCGAACTCACCGACGCGGCGGAGGAGCACCAGCGGCAGCAGAACGACGACGGCCGTGGCCAGTATCACAAACTCCCTGCCGGTCCACCACTGCCGGCCGAACAGCTCCTGCAGCACCCCGGCGTGCTCGCCTCCCCCCTCCACGCTCCCGGACAGCACATCCCCTGCGACCTCCGACGAGATTAGGCGCGCGCCACGGTTCACGGTCGGGAATGCCAATCGGAGCGGCTCAGCCTCGTACAGTACCTATGATGATGAGGTAGACGACGAGGGTGCCGGCGGTGGTGAAGGCTATGAAGATGTTGAGCGCCGCGGCGCCGGCGCGGCGGCCGAACGCGTCGCCCATGATCCCCGCGTACGAGGGCGTGCCGCTGGCCCAGGCCGTGTACCGCAGCATGAACTCCACGGAGACGTCGGAGAGGAGGGCGACGGCCGCGATGAGGGCGAGCGCGGGGACGACCCCGAGCACGCGCATTGCCGCCGGGATCGACATAATGCCGGCGCCGATGATGCTCGTGGACAGGTTGAACACCGCGCCGGAGACCGACGCCCCGCCGCCGTGCCCGCCCGAGAGCTCCGGGAGCAGCGGCTCGTCCACGCCGGCGGCGCCAGCTCCCTTGCCCATGCTCGCTGGCGGCCTCGTGTTCGAAGTGCTCTGGGGCGTGTGGACGGCGTTCGTCGTGAGTACTCAAACTGGCAGAAGACTATGTAGGTATATCTATAATGAGAAGAAAATTAC